CGCGGGAGGGGCTGGGGCGCGGCGCGCGGGTGGGCGCGTGGGGACGCGGCGCGCCTGCCCTCCGCTTGCTCCGGGTGTTTGCCTCTTCGTCCCGGGCCACAGGCCTCCACGGTGGGGATTTGCGCACTGCCGATGGGCAGCCCCCGGACCCAGGGCGCGTCCACAGCGCCCACCCGCGGCTTCCAAGAGCCTCGAAAGCGGATCTTAGGGGTTAACCAGGCACCGACCTGAGGCGCCCTGCAGCTGCCAAACCTCGGCCGGAAACCTAGAACATGGGACCCAGTTCAATGGTTTTCTTCACCCGTACACGCGTCCCTCCATCCATGCCTGCACGCCTACGTGCACACAATGCAAATCCGCAGACGCGCGCTGGGAGCGGGCACCCCCTTCCCGCTCTCCCTCCTCCCGCAGCCCCGGCCTGCTCCCCGAAGGGAAAGCAGCTCAATCGCGAGAAGGAACGAAGGAACGAAACCCCAGGCTCGGCGGCGCTCGCCGATGCGCCTCTGGTCTCCGTGCCTGTCGCGCCGTCCCCGCCCCCACCGTCCCCAGCTCGGGGAGGGCGGGGATGCGGCGGTGCGAGGGTCCTGCCCTGCTCGGCCGGAACAAAGCCCTCCGCGGGAGCCCGCGGCCGCGCACCGAACTGGTGACAAAGGCGAGCGGGCGACGCCGAGCTCCGAGCCTGCGCCCCCGCGGCCGGGCGGGATGGAGGCCCAGAGGATGGGGTGCGGTTTGCACCGGTCTCTCCTGGGCTGTGGCAGGTCGCTTCTGTGTACCCAGCGACCTGTTAGGATGACTCAGCGTTTATGTCGTCGTCCCCCGCGCCCCCACCTCGCTCACTCTCGTCCCCCTCCGTCCCTGTCCCCTCCGTCTCTCCCTGCTTTCTCCCCCACCTCTTCTACCTGACCCCCTTCTCACTTTGCCCTTTTTACCTCTTTCCCTTTTTCTTTTCCACAGAAAAGCAATGCTAATGCGACTTCTGAAGGCCGCTCTAGATGTTCAGATGACAGTCTGAAAGACCTTGCCGGGCGGCGCTAGGGAGAAGAGGGGAGGAATGGGATCCTTTTAATTTGATTATACAAACTGGGCTCTAAATAAAATGAGATGCCGTTACGCTGCGATCTAAGGAAGCCGAGCTCAGCCCTGGGGCCCCAGAGATCGCCACTGATTCAGGGGAAGTCGCTTCTGATGCCTGCAAGTCATAAGATTCGGGCAGGGGGCGGAAGGGGGACCCCGCCACTGTGGAATGGGGACCTCAAGCCTGGAGTCTCCAAGGCAAACCTTTCTCGGGAAAGTTCTGCTCTTACTTTCTAACCCGGGAAAGGAATCGCTGGCCAGACCCCTTCAATAAAATCGTAGTACTTTCGAATTTAGGAAACTTTAATAGTCGGTGTTTTTTTTTTTTTTAAGTGAAATTTTGTTTGTTTTTATGGTGTGAACTAAAAATAAAGGGAACACAGCCCACGCCATTTGGACAACATATGCTTTGACTTCTGAAGGCTTTTTGCACCCTGATTTAATACTAAATTAACACTGGGTGTCTATCAAGTGTCGCTGGGTCCTCCCCTTGGGCTTTATTAAGTAACCGGGATCCACAGAAAATTTGGGAACAGGGGTTAGTGTTCAAAGCAATATCGGACAAATGACTTTTAACCTGGCTCTAACAAACTCGAGTTGCACGAAGCTAATTCTACCACCAAAGTCCCTACCAGACATTTTAGTGCTGAAATTATATTGCTGCAAACCATGCAGTATTTGAAATATCAAATAGTAGTGAATACACTTGGTGCTGTATTTTTTAAGTGAACAATAGCCACACTTTCTTGAAAACACCCCTGAGGCTAGCCAGCCCAAGGTGGGCACCAGGTGAGTTAGGGCCCAGGGAAGGAGCAGGACAGTGAAGTGAGAGCTTCAGCATTCACCGGACAGCATGGGAGCACCATTTGGGGGAAATGCCAAAAAGAGCAGCCTTCAGCCTGGCATGCTGCAATCTGCACCCAGCTCCTCAGACAATAGCAAAGTTCAAATGTCAAAAAAATCTAATAAAAAACTCTAATAAAAAAAATTGAGGTACCAAGTGCAAGAACTGTTTTCCAGTATGCCACAGTGACTCTTTTATCCACCTCCAGACTCCCTGGTTCTGACCCAGGAAGGAGATGCTGTGTTATGTAGAGGGAATGTTTGGTGCGGGGAGTGTCCCCAACTGTAGAGAGCAGTTCAATTCTGTTAGGGCCACCACAAGCTCAAAAAAAAATCCAACCACCCCTCCGGTAAAGTGGTAAAGCTGAGTTAGTATTTCTGGGTTTTGCACACACATAAATACAAAAAAAAAAACAAAAAACAAACAAAAACAAAAACAAAAAAACACCAAGTTGACCTTGGAATATAATGAATCAACATCATCATCATCACCACTCTGATCAATGAGCTGGGCTCTACCTTACCCGCCCTATGAATTTAAATTTGAAGGAGACCATTACATTGGGGGGCAGGGAGGGCAGTGAGGGGGGCAGGCAAGAAGAGTCCATCACACTCTCAGCTCCAGCTTCCCTAGCGATTGGTAGCTTTCATTACTAGACTTGTCAGGTGAACACATGCAGCTTGAGTGGGCAAACTGTTGGGAATGGGTTATTTTAAAAGCACACACTCGATTACTAACTGACTGTGCCTTTTTAATTTATTTTCCACAATTTGAAATGCCCTGTAGTTTAAATCAGTCCTGTAAGTAGCAAAAAGAAAGCTTCTTACTTTAGTGTGAGAAATGAAGGTGACTTTGAATTTATAATTACTCCTTCAAATCCATCTTTTAAAAACTGAGTGTTTGCTCCTTTCCTACAGCTCCGATAAATCAGTTATCAATGTGATACAAAGAACTGGGAGTAGGAAACCACGGGTGCACTTCAAAAAACTTAGGAAGACCAAGAAACAACTCATCCACTGCCAAGATAACAAATATTCTACCCCAAAGCTACCGTTGAGGAGGCTTTGCCTTTGTATGTAACGCACAGGGCGGGTTGTGAGTATGCTTAACATTTCATTTGTAAATGTTAATGTCAAATGTGCTTCCAAACCGCAGCGGTATCAGCGCACCTTGCCATTCTCAGATGGGAGCAAATGAGTGAACGCCCACGCTGTATTTTGCACGTGTGACCCAGGTGATCCTCTTCATTCTCTCATTTGGCAAAAGCCATTTCACCATCCCCAACAATTAAAAGTCTGTAGCTTTGCCCAGCACTTTGGGTCTTAATTCACACCCAGCTTGATCGTTTCCACCCCCAAATCATTATAGAATGCTAAAGCAACCTCTATAATATGTCATTTCTTCTCAAATTAACTTGTTGCTTTATCCAGATTTCTTATTTTCTGGTTCTTTTACTTTAAGGAACCTATAGATATCATGAAGGGCAAGCAATTTTCTTTCCGTTTTTTTTTAAGTACATTTGTAAAAAAAAGGAAAGTAAGTAGCAGCCTAGACAGTAACAATCACAGATCTCATGAAAAGTGACACACAAGAAATTATTCTCTAAATGTGTATAATAATTGCTTCACCAGTGTTTTGCAAAATGGCTAGCTGAACAGAAAAGGTTCCTTTCTCTCTAATAATTTTTAAATGTATTTAGTGGCCGTGGGCATGGAAAGTAAGCTGGAGCTTTGAGACACTCAGCCAGTTCATGCAGATCTCCCCCAGTAGCCTTTTGTCTGAAATATCCGGAGATATTACAGTTTCCTCGATTCTCCACTTTATTTGATTCGTGCAGACCTGACAGTACATTTCCTAATTGTACATGTGAGAGCTTGAGGGTAAAACTCATGGAATTAAAATGTGTTTGAGTGTGTTTCCTTTGCTTATATTAATCTGTAATCTTTCAGCCCTCCTATGTTAAATACCACTTAAATCCAAACCCTGACTTACTAAAGTTAGTTTCAAAGAAAAACTTCTTATGGCCGCCACCCAGTTGACCTGGAGCTGAGTTAGAAAGAATAAGGTGTCTTTCTCCCTCTTGCAGAGGGGCATTAGAGCCAGTACATAACGTGCCCTTTCCTAACAGACTCAGTGACACACTCACAGGTGCGTTCGGCCACTGAACCGTGGAGGCTTCTCACTTCCAGTCACTCCTGGCTTTCCTTTCTTAGTCACGCTCTCTAAAACTCCTTGGGAAAATTATTAGTGATGAACTGAATAATTCCTCAGAACCAGTCGGGATTTGCCCTTCACTATTTTAGAAAGTTTTCCACATGTCTTTTTCATCCTTTATCACAATAAAGTTCAGTCTTCATTGGTAGTATCTAAAAATCTTCGAGGCAGAAATCCTGTGCTCTATTAAAACTTTTCTTCAACTGGGTTAAGTAATGTTGTACTAAAAAAATTCAAGCCCACAGTTACCTCTGACCCATGGCTATTATGTATTTTCTTTACCCTACCAAGCCTTTCAAGGATAAATCCAACATCTTTCTAAAACCATAGGCGGTACCAAGAACGAAAGTAGCCACTAAATATCAAATGGAGTAAATCCCGGGCGCTTTGACTAAATCTCCAGGACCCTGCGTTTTATTCAGAAATCTAAGCATGTATCAAGGTTGAATAATGTTCATCATTTAACAGATAATACCTCAGAATGCATTTTGATTTTTTGCCTGTTTCCTAAAAATACAATACCTGAAAGGTAGCTTCTTAAGCAGCCTAGTACACACACTTCATAATAATTTTTTAAAAGTGTTCTTGCTTTCACAGCCCATTTCTGTTTTCCAGCTCCACACACACTTCACTGACAGAAAAGGAGGAATCGTTTTTTGGAACTGTATTTCTTTCTGGGCCATTTCACAGATACGGGCGGGTGGGGGATGGGGAAGTCATTGTCCTCATATTTTAAAACCCTGTGTTATGCAATGAATTCACTCCTCTTTGTGAACATGCACAGAAAGGTAGGGGTGTTTGTTCCTTTGGCAAGTTTCGAAGAGCAGATTTGCTGTTGAAACAGCTACATTTCACTCGGCACCCGCTAAGGCGAGTCAGTGCGCCCCCTGCTGACACGTCAATAGTGCTACTCCCGAGCAAAGTTTATTTTGTTCAGTAAACCGTGTCATATAAAATTAACAACAACCAATAAAATTAGCTTATATGTTTCAACTGTAAAAGTCCAAAACAAAATAAAGCTAGTTTTAGTGGCACTAGAAATCTCTAGTTTGGCTTCTTCTCTTTGGCTGAACCAAGGTCCTTTTATCTAAAGCCCAGTGCACAAACATATAGCTTAATGTGACTAGTGTTCTTCCTTTTATTTCTTTCTCTATGGCAACCAATATGCTCTGCTCAGAAATGTTCCCCATCAAGGAAACAAATGATCTTCAGGGAGCAGCTCTATATGGCATCTGGTCCAATGGAGCACACAGAGTTAACCCCAGTCAAAAGCAACGCTGCCAAGCACGTAAACAAGGAGTGGGAAGCTGCATTCTTACTTACCCCCGCCCCAACTGAAACCTCTTCCTCCCTCCTTACAAACCATTTCACTGATTTGGCATCAACTGTTTCCAAATAAATTACCAATCCTTCCTAAACTGTAAGGTGTTCTGCGTACCAAAGTGCAATAAAATTCCAGCCATTCGATTCTCTCGCCCCCACCCCACCGCCGAACCTCTGCCCTCCCCCAATCACGCCACACGTTGCTTCCTTTAAAAAAACAAACCAAGAAGCTTTTGAAATCCTCCTTGGCCTGATTCACCAAGGTAAGGCACTCACACAGGCCTGAACCTGGCCTAGCTGTTTCCTCCAACCATATTTATCTAATTAACTGCACCCTCAATTTTTTCAAAACCCAGGGACAGTGGCAAGGAAGGGGCAAGTTGGACTGTCAAAAATGAAAAAACAAAGTAAAATCTAGTTTTCAATGCTAAAGCTCCAGCCTCCCTTGGAATGAAGCGTAGGGATGTACTAGTTAGTTTTGATTGATCACCTTCTTTCTGATGGGCGTTTGCTACCGAGCTGGAAGGCTGCAGCTTCCGCCTGCTCCCCAGACCCCACATCGAGCAGGGGTGCCCTGACTTCCTGCCTCACTTCCTCCATCTCCAGCTCTCTGCCCTCTTCTGCCAAGCCCCCCTCCTGCCTCCTTCCCGCTGCTCCCAGCACGAGTCCCCCATCCCAATCTGGGTAGTTCACCACATCAGCACTGGCTAGTCCTGACTCTCTGGAGAAAATAAAATAAAATCCAAAACAAGAAATATTTATATACCGCGTGCTTAATAATCATTCTTATCCAGGGCTTTTTTCCTCCTCATGACAAACAATTAAAATCAACAACACTCGCCTCCTCCCCGCCCCCCTCCCAAAAAAGTAGTGCCTGGCCGTCTAGAGCTTTGGAATGAGCCCATCTTTTTATGT